TAACAAGTCCAACGTGTACTACTATCATGCAGTCCTCTTTGCAGTCCAATCAATCACTCCTGACAGTAAAAGACTAGGGAGTGAACAAGATCTCCCGAAATAGGAGATGCTAATGTCTAACAGGGTTAATCCTATGTCAAAAAGGGTTTCCAAAATCCTAACAATTAATGTAATTGTATATAAGCAACAAGATTTCTGCAGGGTTTTGAGGACGGGAAAAACAATTAAGGATCTTGGGAACCTGGCTGAATGTTCAAAATTTGGGAAACTACGAGTTAGATACCCTCATTAATGGCTGCTTGAACTTGATAATCGTCTGAATCCCTATGCCCTGGCCATGTTGGTGATTGTGAACTTAATTTGGAATATTCGCTTGCAGCAACTTTCGTATTGGCTGTTTTAGAGATGACTTTCTCCAAATCCAACTGCGATAATGGCCTTGGCACCTAGAAAATACATACAAATTTGACAAGAAAAACGTTAGAAGTTAGAACATTCATTCCTGAACTAAAGCATTCACGTTCAAAGCTTAATCAGGAATATTCTAGCCCATGTTTGGCCCCATTTTCTAAAACTCATTTTTAACGACACATTTTACGAGACCCACAACTTTTATCAAATTTTCAACCACATATTTCATTAACTTTTATTAAAATCTACTAAAAATCTAATCGTTGGCTAAATCAAACAGGGACTTAATAATTTCATGCTTTCGTAAATTGCATGTCATAAGTTGTGTTCTAGAACTAAATATAAATCTATTTGCAGCAGAAGCAACCATTTACTGCAGATACACAGAAGAGAACACACGGAGAAAAGTAAGCCCTTGTTTGGTGTAAATAAAAGTTGATAAAAATTTCAAATCAAAGTCATCAATTAATTTTAACCATACATTTCATGAACTTTTATCAAAATCTAAATAAGGCTCCTGAGATTGCCATTGTAAATGAACTAATACAACAACAGATTCAAGCTAGCATGTCAGTAATTTTCATAGAATTTATCTCATAGCAACAATCGGCAGAATTGCGTTATAGCTTGCGACACCATTTAAGTTGCCACACGAAAAGGATTTGCATCTTATGGAGTCATGGGAATTTACTAGGTTCTCTTTATGAAATCGAATCAGTAAATATGATATAAAAGTTAAAAGTGGAATCGATTGATTCGGTAAATTAATAAAGCAGGCAAGGCATTTTAATGCAATCGATGGCTTATAAATTGATAAAATATCACTATATTCTGAGATTATTACATAATCAATCTTGTTATCACAAGTCGTCATAGCCCGAATTATTGTAGACCGAAAATAAAATTCCAAAACAGCTGATTAAGCAAGCAAAGGAGAAATTACTAACCGAAGATGATTTTCCATTCTTCTCATCATCGAGCAGGTCCCTGATAGGAAAGTAAGCAGCTTTTTTGCAGAGCTCAATAAGATCCGAGCCAGTGTATCCATCACAAAGACCAGCTATATGGTCGTAATCAATGTCATCTTCAACACTCTCATCCTTCAGAATCACCTTCAATATCTGTGACCTCTCCCTACGATCAGGAATCCCAATTTCAAACGCTTGAGGAAGACGACGGAGAATTGCCTCATCAAGTTCTGAAGGACGATTAGTCGCAGCAAGTACCATCACCCGAGAATTGTCTGCATAAACAAAATCATACCATCTCAGCAAAAAGTGACATCTCCAATATCTCAAATTAATAAATTAACACACAAATATGAACACAATTATCTATCATTTATTATATTGAACAATACGACAACCACATTACAGATGAGCCACAAAAAGGCATATTAAAGAGCAATGGAAACTATCTTTAATAATATTCCCATGAAGGTTAAGGAAACTTACGGTCTGTTGTGAAACCATCCCACAAAGCCATAAATTCTGTCTTCATATTAGTTAGTACTTCATGGTCTGTAGTCTTGCGCTGGCCCAAAAAACTATCCACCTCATCAATGAAAATAATTGCCGGCTGGAGTTTATGTGCCAGGCTAAACACAGCAGCGACTGCAAAAATATTTTTAATCAGAAGTAACAGTTAGTAAATGAATAGCCATGGAGAATGGGTACCAAGCAAAGAGAGTATTATGCAGTAATAAAACATGGCTATGATATCCATCAGGACAAACAAGAATTTAGAAATCAAAGTTAAGAATGTGCAGCAAATCATAAAGACTATGCAAACAAGAATTTGAAAAACTAGCCACAATGTAAATGAAGGTAAAAGGTCTGACACAAACTCCCAAACCACCCCAAGCTCATAAATCAATATAATTACAATGAGTACAAACACACACACAGATTACATATGGAGAGAAGTAACAAGAGAAACACCACAACACATCATGAGAAACCAATTAAAATATTCATAATATGCAAAGAGGCTAGAAAAAACTTTCAATCAATCAACATAATCCAAAGATGAAAGGGGGAGTAAGAACTCGGAGAATATGACCGATACTCACCTAGTTTTTGTGCATCCCCAAACCATTTGCTCATCAGATTTGATATTCTCACATTGATGAACACAGCTCCTGACTCTTTTGCAATTGCTTTGGCGAGCATAGTCTTCCCAGTCCCAGGGGGCCCATACAGCAAGACACCTTTTTGTGGACCAAGAAGCTTTCCATGAGAAAACAGTTCAGGTCTTCGTAATGGAAGAATAACTAATTCATACAATGCCTGTTTAATGGCTTCCAATCCTCCAATACAGTCAAATCTTATATCAATATGGTCAGGATTGATCACATCACAGGCTATAACATCCTATCAATTAGTGAAACAGACAATTAGTAAGAAGAGCATATACAAATATATATCTGGAAGGGAAAATGTGATAAATAGCCTAACAGGCTGCTAAAACTCAGCTTGACTTCTTAAATGAGCCTGGAAATGAAAAGAGGGTTAGGGGAAGCTTGTTTGATTTATTGTTTTAAGTTCAAGCAGAACCAATGTTGGCAAACGACATTGTGCCAAGCTCAAGTGGAAAGGTAATTTTATTGTATTTGGTAGTTAGTACAACTATGAAGTTTTCAAGTATAAAAGATTTTTAGCTTGGCTTGTATATCTCGCAAGCCAAAGATTTTACGACCCTAGTCCAAGGTGCTCAAGCAATTTTCCCCCTTCTCCATCTAGATCAAACACAAGAAAATTCCAAAAGTACTATGTATTTCTTTTTTTGTCCTTGTGCTAACATATAAAACCTAAACCAAAATCACAATGCAATTACATTTTCAATAATATCTAAAATTTTTGTCACTAAGAATGTCAAATCTCTAAAAAAATATATGTTATAATAACTTAACTGCCATCACAGTGAATTTGTCTAATTAATGAAATTACAGAAAAGAAATTATAAATCGATAACACAGACAACTCCGTACATTATTTATACAAATTAAGGTATATAATTGAAACATAACATAAAATACATAACATATAGAGATAAATTTGAACCTCATAGGGATTGGTCTGGATACGAGGTCGGCCCAAACGCTTTGCAATGTCCTTCTTGTGTTGAGCTGCTTTCTTGGTCGCTTCGTAGTTCGGGTCGAGATGTCGGAGCCCCGCGAACAAAACCAAGCAGCTCAAAGCAGCGTTTGCGGCGTAGAGAACCAGTTCTTGAAAAAACCTGGTTTCTGATGAACTCATTTTTGCAGTTCTTTTGGAGGGTTCAGTGTCAACAGGAGATGAAGAATCTGTAAAATTTACCGATTTGAGGAATTGGTAATTTGAAAAGAAAAGGAAAACTTGGAGGGCACGGATAGGACGGGTTGGGGAATGAGAAGGATTTCGAACTGCCAAAGGAAGATGGATATTATTATTATATATATATGCCCTTTTCCCGTTATCCAGGAATTATAGTTTTGACTCTTGAGAGAGCCTAAACTTACGACCCGCCTAGTCGCAACACCATGTCCAGATTGCGGCCGGGAAAATTTGGTGTCCATGACGGCAGTCCAGGTGTTACCTAGAAAATTCGGGTGTGACTGCAGTCACTGCGACACAGGCTGCAACACAGGCAGTCATCGCAGGCAGATTGCAGGCAGCTCCCAGGACAT